ATAGCTTTTTTCCTCAAGAGATCATTATCAGGAGCAATAAGTCATCTGTGCCACTCTTGATAGACTTACACAATCCTACACTGACTTTTATACGTTAATTATTATCGACTGACCTTTTCATGCACAGAAATGAGCCTCCAACTAACCATTACATTTCATTAAAAGGTTACACCAAGAATCCAGTATTAGAAAAGTATTCTGGTCTCTTCAGGGACTCGTGTGTGTTGATCAAAGGAAACAGCTCCTTTGTTTATGTTTTTATTTGCTTTTTTGCAGGGAGCTCTGTTACTTAATGAGGTTTTATCAGTTTTATCCTGGTTTAAGGATCAAAACAGGACATTGCATATCAAAATCCTGACTTTAAGTAATTTGATTACATGTACATTTTCCCTAAACAATTCTCCATAAAGTACAGTGAAAAAATGTTAAATTCAATGGACTCTGATCAATGATGATTTAAGATAAATGCAAAATTGTGAGATTTGTTTTTAGTGGGAGACTTTTCGCAGTTTTTTTTAAAGAGAGATGAAATCTTAGATTTTATTTTTTAAAAAACAATTAACTTTCATCACCTTCGAGAAAGTTAAAATGTATATTTAGTGCTAAAAATATGGATAAAATTCTAGAATTTGACTCACACAACTGAAGCACAGACGTATTGGATGGTTTGTGACAATTAACCGCACAAAAAACACAAACTTTATCAGATAATTATTAAAAATGCTCCAAAAGTGACAGCAGCACAAACACAGGCAAAAGGTGAAGCCTTGCAGGCGGCTAGTGGCTGCATGTCGTCATCCACCTATCGCCCAGCAGCCGTACCCTTAACAATGTCAAACTTTAAGCCTTAAAGCATTTAAATGGGTGAGCTATGAAGAAATATTCAAGTGTCATTAGCAGGACAGAACAAACAGTTTTTCAGAGCAGGCTGCAAACATGCTGGTCATTTTAACATGAGAGCCTATTGGGATAGGCTCACCTTTGATGGCTGCCTCTAGTGGCTATTGGAGGAACTGCAGTTAACCACAAACAGAGGTTCTTGGGTCTCTTTTCAGGAGTTCTTACATGCCTGCAGGAACAAGCATTAACTCCAGCCGGGGAGGATTTTTAAAACAACTCTTCGCCTGCAAATTCCTGAAATGAAGACTAAGCGTTTTTTCTGGCTTCCAAAAAAGGAAAACATTTCACATGCATGAACTTTGCACCGTCAGTCGACATCATGGTGACCGCAGCAGGGATAACAGATAACATGTGTGACCACACTCGTGTGCAGACAGCTTGACTCGCGAGTTGTCTTTTAGAGGAAGAAAGATCACCTTCATCACTACACACTTATTGATTCCAAGGCTCGTATTTAAAGAGGAAGCAGCTGAATGTATTTACCCTAACGAGTCCTAATCTTATCCAAAAGAAGTAAATGTTTACGGGAGCGTTTCGAGAGCTGAACTTTAAATACATATTTAAACTTTGAGTGCACAAACAGACACGGGAACCTCCTGCAGATGCTGCTGCGCGGCTTGTTTACTCGGAGGTACTCACACCACCCATATTCCTGTGATGATGAAGACAGGCAGGCTGACGGGAAGGATCATCCAAGGCGACATGACGGGCGCCAGGCGATCTCCGCCGCAAAGGACACCAACGGACACAGGCTTCGTTACGGACCTGAAGGAGCGCAGACACAATCAGTCAGGGAAAACCAACGTACAAATATTACAATCACAAATCCTGAAATCAGGATTCCTGATTGGTAATTAGCTCTTTAATCCATCTATCAAACTCCCGCCTGTTCCAGCTCCTATACTGAACTTTCCTCTATGCTTCTCTATACCACACCACTTTATTGTCTTCCAATATTTTTGGTCCTTTTTTCCACATTTACCTAAACCTGCACTGCTTTATATTCAGTTTCAATCACATAAAACCTTTAGAGCTCTTTGCCATATTACGTGCATTTTTATGATTTATTGTCTTTCATTTAGATTTTTACTCACTGGGTTCATTTCTTTCTTGGTTTGTGTTGCCATACTGCACTTTAACTTCTCAAGCGATTCTTGTTTTACTAAAGCTGCTGCGTTTATTGTTTGCTGTAAGATTGGAGTTTTGCAGTTTTTAGAGTATATCTTATGTTAAAAGTGAGGGTTTTCGGCTTTTCCCTACTTTATGTTTCATACGCTGAACGTCTTTTGCATTTTGGAGTGTCGGTTGAACAAAACAAGACATCCGCGAGAGATGTGCAGTTCCCTTGCAGTGATGTAAGGGGGAGAATATTACATCTTGAACAACGTGTTTTGTGTCTGTCGTGCAGGTCCGATGTAGCGGCCTGCAGCAGAGATGAGGAGCTGTCAAACTTGTACCTTCATCACTTCACCACACAGAGCGAAACAAACAGTAACCTGTGAAAACGACGGGGCAATGCTCCCAGACCTGCAGTCCTGCTTCTGTCTGCATGGCTATTTTCCTAAATAAACATCTAAAACTATAGAGCAGCTCTCAGTCCACACACCAAACTGAAACCTTTTTATACAGGACACTGATTTATGTTTTGGCCGAGGTATCACAGTGTCTGTCCTTGGACATGTTATCGTCCTGTCACAGATTAAGCACAGTAAGTTTGAACTTTACAGAGTTCAGTGAATTACTGCCAGTCATTCATAAAAAAATATATGCACATGTAGGGCTCAGCACATAACTTGAGTGTTACTATTTTTGTGACTTGTTAAACAAACAATTCCTATAAAGTTGGGACACTGTTAAAAGAAAATCCCATAGAGCCTTATTTTATTCACAACAGAACAAAGAAAACACATAAAATTGTTGAAAAATGTTAGCTTAATTTGAATTTGATGGCAGCAACATTTGGGACATCTACAGCGCATAATGTCACCGACTGATTCCAAGAATCTGGAGGAATCTCTGTGCGCAGGGGACAAGGCTAAAAATCAATAGTGGCTGGCCGTGATCTTCAGCTCTCAGGCGGCACTGCGTCATAACCAGACCTGATTCTGTCATGGAAATCACTGGATGGGTTCAGGAACACTTCCAGAAATCTCTGTCTGTGAACTCAGCTCTGTGCCATATAAACGCAGGTTAAAGCTCGATCGTGCATAGAAGAGGAAACATGTTCGAGCAACATCACCAAAGCTAATTTCAAACAACCTCAGGAAAAGTGTGAAGATGTTCTGTGATCACACAAATCGAAAGGACCCTCAACTCTAAGTATATTCAGGTTTCAAACCAGAACGGGACAACATTCCTCTCCCACGAGCCCAGCAGCTGCTCCAGATGTTTATGAGCTGTTGTTAAAGGAAGAGAGGATGCTGCACAGTGATACACATGTTGCTGGCATCACTTTCAGGTTCACCTTATTGTTTTATGAGATTTACAAATCATCGCTTCTGTTTTTAATTTCACACTTAAAGTCCAAAAGGTAAGTTTTACACTTTATCCTCAGTTATAACCGGTGTCGGCTTATTTCCACCTGTTTTAAGGGGGAACATACAGATTTTCACATGCAAAGTATTCAATTATCTATTAAATCCTACATTAAACATGAAATATTCTATATTCAATCTGCCTGTAAACGTTCAGCTTCACCGTTTTTGAACTCGTTTATCTGACGTGATAAATGTAAAATTTCATGTATAATAACTTGACTTGAAAACACAAGCTGAGTCAGATTTTGACATTTTGAAATTCATTTTTAGGTTTTTTCTTCTTTTTTATTTTAGGCGTGTTTTGTTAAAAATCACATAGAAACTGCAACACGTGCGTTATTTTTTAACACAGCCTTTCTAAGAGCATCATAAAATTATAGAATAGTTGAGGTTACAGGTAATCACGTGCAATAAAAACTGACTAACATTAAAAATCTTTAATTATTGCCACAATTTAGTCTGTAATTTCAGATTATTCGTGCTCCTGCTGTGCGTCTATTTGACCTCATTAACCACTCTGAGCTTGAACAGCTGGCCTTCATGCTTTAGATGCATGACAACCTGAGATGCACAGCTTCAGTCCTCGGATCCTACCTCTGCCGCTCAGCGAGAACTCCTCAGTCTCCGCGTCTCCTCCCAGCTCCTCCAGACTCGGGGAAAAGTTGCTGAAAAGTGAGGCCGAGCTGGAGTTTCTGATGTTTCATCGTCCAAACGTGGCTGCAGGTGTATCACTTCATCGGGATCGGGAGAGGAGACGGATGAGGTGGCGTCGGTACGATCCTGCTCCCGAGGCAGCCGCTGAGCTGTGGTGGGAGGTGAAGAAAGCAGCTGGAGTCGGTGACTGGTAGCTCCTCCCACCCACGCGGGTGGAGGCGAAGGTTATTCTAACCCGACAGTCATCGCTGCTTTAAAGCTCGCACTGCTTCTGGGAAATCTCTGCCACTTTTTTCATGTTTTCTGAGTCTAAAACACGGGTGTGGGTGGGCAAACTGGACTTCTGCGTCTTCCAGGAAACTAATTTCACTAATTGATTGCAGTCAGACAAGTTGCACATCCGGGGCTGCTGAGCCCGGAGTTTAGTCAGGATTCTGCAAAGTTTGTTCCAGATGTTTCACTGGGAAAACCTGAATGTATGAGAAAAAGTTACAGTCAGGTTGAATGAGCTTTAAGAAGTTCCACCTCTCTAAACCTCTTATTGAAATGAGCATTTGAGAGCTAAAGACTTGAAAAATTATCCCTAGAAATCCGAAAAAGTCAAATAAAATGACGTCTCACAACTTTCTTCTGTCATTACAACCACTACAATATATCTCATAAAGAGAAAACAGGGGAAAAATCATAGTTTAATTCCACGTTTTACTAAATTGAGTTCAAAACTAATACTTGCATCTGCAGAAATTTAGACCTGGTGTTACAACTTTGATCTAACCATGGATGTCAAACTCGTTTTACACGGTAGACCACATACAGCCCACTTTGATTCTGAGTGGGACGCCACTGAAACTCCCCTTTAGTGTATCTATAACAGCAATCCCTGAGATTAAAAGTGTAATTTCAACAGCATGTCGTGATTTTTCTATGAATAAAATTAGTCAAAATACAGAAAAAGCTCTGGTAAGCTCACTGGCCGACTGTCCTGTACGAATATAAAACATAAAGTTCTGGTTAATTCACAGAGATTTATTTTTCTATAAAAATAGACATTTTTATAGGGGAAAGTAAAAAAATAGGAACTTTTCTACCAGTCAGTTGTTTATATGTTACTTAACTATTTTGGTGTATGAACGGCAGTGGGGGAGGTCTGAGAGCAGGAAAGGAGGAGGTCGAGTGGAGGTGGGTTGCAAAGTGGCTCGCTGACGCACAGCAACTGTGAGAAGGCTAAAGCAGCTTAAGAAATAAACCATATATGAGATCTGAGCTGAGCTGGCAGTGAGATCAGCTGATCCGAGTTCAGCTTTGTTTACATTCATCTGCTGCGTGTCTTTAACTTTTGTCCACTTCCGCTATGTTTTTTGTTTTTTCTCTTCTCTTCGCTGTCCCTTCCCATTCTGGTTCTGTTAGAGGTCTCTTCCTGTGAAAAGACAGTGTCGCCAAATGCTACTCGTAAATGATTGTTGGGGTTCTCTATCTAATATATAATATAAGCCAGTTTGAGGCGACTGTTATTGACACTGTAGGAATTAAAGTTGAATCGTTTGATGTAATACTTTTATCACTTTAGGCTGGCAGAGGTTTAATAGGTCCATAATTATTGGTTATATTTGTGCAAATGCTTTAACAAATTCATTCAGTCAGATGAAAGGCTCTCTGGATATACTTATTTCTTCTTTTATAATACCAGATTAAGTACATTGTAGGGACAAACTAAGACATATCCACAAATTAATCAGAACAAAGTAACTCTTAGTTAAACCCCCAAATCACAAAGTCTTCAAAGTTTTTTTTAATTCTACATGCAAAATAGTAGACACAGCTAAGTAATGGATGGATGGATAATAAAGAAATAAAAGTGATACCAACTGTTAAACGTCCATTGCTTTGTTTAGAAATTCATTTATAGGGATAATTGAAGTAAATACAGTTAAGCACACTTCCTATTTCTGCTGGTTTTTACCTTAAAAGGAGCTTGCAAAGAAAAGCGTCTGGACTTCTTTGAGTTGCTTGAACATGTTTCACCTCTCATCCGAGAAGCTTCTTCAGTTCTAAGGTCAAATGGTGGGGAGTCCCAGATTTAAACCTAGTGGGACTCTCCACCATTTGACCTTAGAACTGAAGAAGCTTCTCGGATGAGAGGTGAAACATGTTCAAGCAACTTAAAGAAGTCCAGACGCTTTTCTTTGCAAGCTCCTTTGACTACGATGACCTGGATGACTGAGAACCTTCACAGACTTAAAAGGGAAAATTTTACACCTGTTACTCGGTTACCCAACAGCTTCGGATGGTCACAGCAGATTAGGAACATCAGTGGGGGGGTCGGGGAGAACAGATTGCTTGGGTCGTGGTGCAGATTTAAAGGAAGTCATTAGTAACGTTAACTTTAATAGAAAGAAACAATGAAAGGAGAGAGGATGGCAAAAGTGTAAATGAAGCCTCTGTGCCTGAAAAGTTCAATAAATACAAGCCTGTCTTGTCTTGTCTTGTCGTCCAACAGAGGCTAAGTAAAGAAAAAGACACAATAACATCTGCAGCTGGTTGCTGTAGGAAAACACAGTTTATCAGTGTGTCCCTTTTAAAAACACCCTGCAGGTCCCTGCAGATGAATCAATAGTGAAAGGGGAAGCTCTACTCAATAAAAGCTTTTCATTTTACTAAAAAGCCATGAAATTGAAGGGGCTCCGGGGTTTTCTCAGAAAGGTTATTCCACAGATTGTTCCAAGAAAAATCTGTGGTCTATGGTTGGGTCAAAGAGGCGCCTCGTGGGGTGAAACTTCATTGTGAAATAATCGGCCGCAAGGTAAGGCCAATCAGAGAAGATGAGTATTTTCATCTTTTACATGGTAAAAACAATCAGCCACAGGCTTCCTGAAACAAAGAACAAGGAGCTGTGACCCTATTTTGAATTAATACTGTACCCATATAAAGTAAACTGAAACCGCAACCACATGCCTGCATTTTCCCAACAAAACAAGCAACCAATGCTGCAAACCCTCACAAGGAAACACATGAAGTTCAGATTAACCAGGTTTGTGGTGGTACCTGGAGGCTGCCTCACGTGCTTCTTCGCGTGCCCGCCTGTGCAGAGGTTCGCACAGCTGTTCTTCGTTACATTGTTTGTTGTAGTAAGAAACAAACGCACCGCTGACGTATAGTTTGGCGCACATGTGGAGAAAGCTGTAATGACAACCTCCTGCCACACGAGGGCGCCAAAGACTGCAATAACAGCCACAGAACGTCAGGATGAAGAAAGTCCTCGAAAATAAAGAAATTATGGTTTTATATTGTTACAGCAATTTCAATAAACGTGGACAGACAGACGGGGTTTATTATTTAACATGCAGAAGTACTCGATTACAAATAGGAGTTTAGTTATTGTACTTAAAAAAAGGGTTAAACATGTAAGTATGCCCCATTTCACCATTCAGGGTAACTTTTACCAGTCTAATCTCATGTTACAGGTTATAATTGTTAATAAATATGAACACGATGATTAAAACATATGTAATTATACAGTTAGTTCATCGTGTGTAATTACAGTAACATGTGCTGGATGTGTTAATGTGAAGGATATCTTTAATTACTTTAAACACTCCATCATGTTTCATGAAGTGAGCTCCTGCACAAACACAAACAGCTTGTGTTTGTATGAGATGATTGTCCTCTTCTGCGCACTGCACACATTCAGCTCCTAACAATGTGACTCGTTTCTGTAAGTTTCATAAAAAGTTTGCTTTCCATCACAGAGCCGAGCTGAACACGAGCTGGTGGTGTTCACGCAGAAAAATCTCACTGTTGTCGTGACCCTAACCCTCTGTCACGAGCTTGTTTAAAGCTTTTCCCTCTCGGCTCCTCCACTGCGTGTCTTTCCCCCCGGTCCTCTGGTGTCACCACCCACGGCTACAAGACTATAATGTGCTGAGCAGGCAGAGCTTTGTCTTCCATCAACCCACGACCTCCCAGAGAGCGCTCGGCTCAGCTTGGACGTTTGTAGGGCAGTGTGCTGCGAGCTGGAGAGCTGCAGGGGGCCGGTGTGGTTTAACTGTGTCAGCAAGACAAATTCCTCTAGTTTAAAAGCTTCACGGGGATTTAACAGCTTCTGATCATCAGAGACTGTAGAGCCACTGTGTGCTCATCAGTCAATTTATCTTTTAGACTCACACAAGTTTATACAGAAAATACACATCTGTGTCCAATGTGAGTATAATGACACCCTTGTTTACATACTTCTGTACTTTTTGGATCATATTTATTTTTCTTACAGAGCTCGCTTTAATGACTAGAACTGAAAAATCTATTATTAAGACCTAATATTTAGATTGGACATGTTATATATTATCTTTCTCTCTTTAAACATTTTCTTTCCTCTGTAATGCATGGTTACAATTGAACACAATCCTATTATACATTTTTCCCCATCCCTTAAACATGCACTATGATTGCAATAATAAATGAAACTGAACCATCACCTTCTTAGCAACGCCAATAAAACCAACACGAATACACAGGAACAGCGTGAGCATCATAAAAGTTTCATTAAACAGCAGTTTCACAAGTTTTCCAATAACACCGTCGGTCAAGGAATTCACCTTATATATGATCAAATTAGAAGCGTGTTTTAGCCTTAAATATTTTCTATTTCACATCTTCTGTATATATCTCTTTAAATCTTTGTTTAGTTGTTTTCCCACAGCTGTTGCAGACACCTAAACTGTTTACGGCACTTTCTGGGATTTTATTTGCGACCAATAAAGTGATGGGAGGCGTTGTCGCGTGTACACAAACCTTTTTAAAAAATTCTCTCACGGTCGCTGAGTTGCCACATTCAGGCCTGAATAACAGAATAATGGGAGACTGCCATCTATAAGGCACTTTTTCAGACCCGTGACCTTCAAAGGGCTTCACGCTACAACCTGTCAAGGTCACTGAGAACTCATCACCATCTCAGAAATGCATTTTACATTAAGCTGTGTATGCCTGAGTTTGGCTCTCGTCTACGATTAAGACTCAACAATCTTGCAAAAGATTGCTTTTAAATTTCAAGAGCTGCTGTTTAGTTAAATAAAAGCAATTAAATATGTTTATAAAACTCATTTAAAAGAAAATAAAAGACAATCAGACTGAAGTCCTGGCTTTATCACACATGCCTGTCAGAGGCTTGAATATATGCTTTATATTTTTTAAGATAATCTTAATAAAGGAAACTAAATCAAACAGCTAATGTTTGTGGCGAGTTTGTCCATCTTCTATTTAAACAGATATTCTTCTCCACAGTGAAAACATTTCACCCCTGAAACAACAAACAGAGAAACTTTTATTATAACGTTTCGACACGAAGCCCTTTTTCCAGTAGAAACCACAGGGAGTAAAAATCAGCAGGAAACATGAAGCACAAACAACAAAACAAAGTAAAGCACGACAGAAAACAAACAGAAGCATGTTTGGCACACCAAGTTCAAGTTTTAACAGCGTTACAATGTGTCAGATTTTAAAAAGCAGGCAGTTTCAAACAGTGTTCAGTGCTCTTTACATGAAATCACATAAAAACAACTAGAACTGGTTGATGCTGAAACAATACGTGCATCTGAAAACGGTGCTTTTATCAGAACTACGTCGTTGCTCACAGAAGGTGCGTCAGCGTGACAAACTAATCCACAAAGTCCTGAACAATCGGAATTCAACTACAGACAAAAACACAAAATCAGCTCCGTCACGCCAAGTCAAGTCTCCACACAGGTTTTAAACCACGGCGCTCAGCACACACGTTTCCAACCAGGGCGAGCAGCTTCTGTGGCGAGCGCAGGCCCGTTAAACAGGACGTGGTTTGAAAACGTGCTGCGCAACTTTAAACACGAACACCGTCGCAGTTCACCCTCCGAAGCGGTGCAAGCGCGAGCGTGGATGGAGCAAACTGAACTCAACCCGCTTCCTAATGTGACACCTGCCAAGTAAACCTCACACCTGCTGGAAAACATAAAAACACATCCTTCTCATCTAAAAACAGACACCAGCGCCCCGTGGCCTCTTTAGCAGGTCATAAAGAGCAGCAGCACCACAGTCAGCGGCAATCGCCACATAAATTTGGTCCTCGTCATCTGCCGTATGTTTGGCATCAGTTTGTTCAAATAATTTAAAGCCCAAAAGCAAAATAAATAACCAAAACCAACATGAGCACAGGGCAAAGTCACAAAGGATGGATCAAAATAAAGCTTTTTTTTTTCTAACTAAACACAAACATCAGGAATCAAGTGTCGGCAACGAGGCAAACGTGGTCGGACCTCGTAGGAGTTGCAAGATACAAAAACCTCTCCTGTTGCGTCACATTATGTTCAGTTTATCCTTTTTGTTTGTCTGCTAAACACTTCACACGAGACTCTCTGGTTTAACTCCTGCTGCTCAGAGAAACAGTGCAAACAGTTTTTAGATGCTTTTTATCGCCTTTAATAAATGTGCACCACAGAAGTGGATCTCCATCACATCTACACGTCTCCTTTTTAAATCCATCGCACAGCTGCACAGAAGACAAGGTTCGGGAAACTGCGTCCCAACAGTGAATCGTTCCC